ACCTCCGTAAGCAGCCAGTGCCCCCACGGTGCCCACGGAACTGAGCAGGGACATCAAGTCCTGCGGTGACACGGCCCCCAAAGAGAACTGAGTGGGACAATGGGAGTCCTTTCAAAACCAGCCTCGTGGAGCCCTGGGCCAGAGAGCTCGGGATGGAGCAGGGGGATCATTCTCCCTGTCGTGGGATAATTCCCAGCCTCTGGGAAAGGTGAATGGAATAATGGACTGTTAAAGACTGCACTGAGAGCAAGGGGTGGTGGGACCTTCAAACACTGGGATCTACATTTAGGAAAGGCCCGTGCTGGAGCAGTTCCTGAAGAACTGTAGCCTGTGGGAAGGACTCACACTGGAGAAGTTCATGGAGAACTGTCTCCCGTGGGAGGGACCCCACTCTGGAGCAGGGGAAGGACCCCTCTCCCTGAGCAGCATCAGGAATGTGGGATGGCCTGACCGTGCCTCCCATTCCCATCCCCCTGCATCACTGGAGGGAGGAGGCAGAGCCTGGGAAGGAGGGAGGGGTGGGGCAAAGGGGTTTTTAAGCTTTATTTTACATCTCATTCTCCTCCTCTGTTAGTAATAATTTCAATTAATATCCCCAGGTTGGGTCTGTTTTGGCCATGACAGTGATCAGTGAGTGGCCTCTCCCTGTCCTTATCTCAACTCCTGAACTTTGGGCTGTATTTTCTCTCCCTGCCCAGCTGTGGAGGGCAGTGATGGGGCAGCTCTGATGGGCACAGGGCATCAGGAGGGTCCAGCCCACCACAGGGGTGGGCGATGTGCTGGTTCTGGCCAGGACAGGGTTAACTTGTGCAGTTGCAGAAGGATCAGGACCTGGGTTATTGGTCCCACCTCAGCCACCTGCAGGGGGATGGAGTCCGGGGGGGTTCTCCCCAGCTTTCCCAGATGTGGGGTCAGATGGTTCCACGTGGTGAGGGATCACCTGGGAATCATTCCCTGCCTTGCACTCTGTTGTTGGTGTTTGGTACTGTTTGTTTTCTTATTTCACTGCTGTCTCTGGTTAATTGTTCTTATCTCAACCCCTGATCTTTACCTTTTTACGCCTCCACTTCTCTTCCCCGCCCCCCGGAGTGATCTGGGGTGTTTCAGGGGGAACATTAAATGGGGGGATGCCATTCCTAAAGCACCACAGGTGTACTGGACATCCCTCCAGGGGAAGGAAAACGGGGGCCTGCACTCTGCTGCCAGAGGAAGGACCTGACCATTCCTGGCTCTCTAGTTCCCAAATCATTCCATGGATGGGGATCACAGGGTCTCAATTCCATCCTTGTGCCCAGCCTGGCCCCCCTCCTGGCACGGAGGGTCAGGGGAGCTCCCACTGCTGCCAGCCCCCTACCTGCCCCACACTGCCCCAAAGCACAACACACACAGAGCAAACCCCACTGCTTCCAGTGTAGAGAAAATGGGTTTGTATAAATCTCACAGCTCTGGAGGCTCAAATTGCCAGTCGGGTCAAACAACACAAGCGAAAACAGACCCATCCCCGGATGGAGTCCCCACCGGGGGGGGG